GCTGTATCTTTTTTCTCCGCTTTCCTGTCTCTCTTCTTTTCTGCATTCTCTTTCTTGATGCGAAACTGCTTTCTCCTTGTGATGACTTCATGGTCTGGGATCTCAATACCATTCATGCCAGTCGTCTTCACCTTTGGGGGAGGAGAATCCGGATCGACGTATGCATCAAGCCCCTTTAACAATATAGACATCTAGTTGTGCATGGAAAATATTGAAATCCATGGCCTCATGGGCAATTTACTGTAAGTCATGTGTTGTTTTGATCACCGGGATACCTGTTGCTCCACTTCGCGATCATGTTCATCGAGCTTCTTGATGGTTTCAATGGCCACATCGGTGTTCAAGAGCTGAGTAGGGGAAACGGGCAGTTGGGTCTCGTGATGGTCCAAAGCCATGGGCATCACAGAATCCGACAAGATGTGAATCGTTTTGTTGGGGTCCACTGCCGAAGTTGAACCTCATCGCACTCATGCTGCAGAAGATTGCAGGGAAAGAGAGCCTATATAAACAACATTGTTCAAACCTTCATCAAGTATATATATATATATATATATGTAACAGCCCTCTAGTCTTGAGTCTTTGTAGACAAGGAACTTGCTAGCTTTGCAGCTGGCTCTGCATCAGCCAGCTCTGCAGGCTTGGCATCGACAGGGTCATTTGGCAGAAGCGTGGTCAACCTGGGAGGCGGCAAGCAGGGACAATGCTCTAACATGTCAAGGTATTCGAAAGAACACTATTCCAAAGGTCCATTCACAAAGTTTTGAATGAATCCAGTATACTTGATCCTATATATGCTTATATACAAACAGGTCTTCACTCTCTATTTATATACAAAAAACGTTTCCTTGGAAGCATGCTGGTGTCTATAGCTGTTTTTGAGACAAGTATGACATGTCTGTCGTATATAGAAGCCCACGCAGTCTTTGTTTGAACTAACTTGCATCCAAGTGACTTTTGCACATCTTGCAAAGCTTGCGCGATCATGTCAACTGTGAAGTTCACTGGCTGGGGTGGCGCAGTGTTCGGTGCTTCCTCGTCAGATGAAATGTCCATAACATCGCCCAAGTCCTGGAAGGCAAGCTGTAAGCTTGGCTGGGGAGAGGACTTCATTCATCCTATGTGCCTTCTTCAAAACTAAAAAGACTTGAGGGACTGAGGATTTTCGACAATGAGTCCTCATGGGCAACCAATGACTTCAAAGGCATGTCAGTTGGAGTGGTTGACAGGATGGGAGGCTGGGTATCACTCCGACATGGGGTAGGCTGCACCGACTGCACTTGGGCCGCAGGTTCATCAAGTTTCTGAGCCACCTCATCGGCTTTCTGGCCAAGAGTCTGCGGCTCGGCCACGGGAACCTCCGGCAAACTCTGCCCCAAATCATCGACGATCTGGTTGAGTTCAAACTCTATTGGATCATCCATGAACAGGTCGCTGTAGCCATTTGCTGAATTTTCTGGTGCTAGTGCTTCAGGCTCAGGATCCTGAGAATCGTCCCCCAAAGAGTCGCCCACATCGCGTCCTCCTGATATAGGTTGCCAGTCCTGGAGGGTTTGGCACGCGGCGGTGTGTTTTTGTGAGAAATGGCTCACTCCAGTTGACATTGATCACCATCTATTTTGTGCATGATATTGGAATTTGAAGACCTCTTCAAGGGGATTCGCGTTCATATAGGGCTATATAGTCGCATATGCATGTGTATGCCATTTAGATTCGACCATATTTGACTTATTCATGCCATATAGAGCAACATCCAAAGCCCTGAATGTGTGCCATAGAAATTTGTTTTTGAAGACTCGAGAGGGTTTATAGTTTATGCATCATATATCAACCATCCTGTGCGGCAATCATTCGACCCCCCTGCGCACACCGACTATGTATATATAGCAGCTTGGGTCAAATACAGTTGGGACTGCATGGTGCGGAGAGCTAGGCCGCGCCCATACCCTCCTGAAGATTGAATCCCAGCGCTTCCACCAGGCTTTGGATGCTTTCATCCTGGAGGACATCGCATTGGAAGGACATGGGGGGAGACAAGAGCCATTTGTGGACAGAATGAATCTTATATATGCTCAACACCTCTTTCAAGTTTTGACATAATGTGTTTTGACACATCCCTGGGATCATTTTGGGGTTGTCACCACAACAAAAACGAATCACTGAACAAGGTTGGTGTTTCTGGCAAAGTTGCCGAAAACAGTCCACCCAACAAACATGTAGACTGGATTGATTTGATGTTTGTTTTCGTGATGAAAAGTCCTGTGGGGCTGTGCTTCTGTATGCAAACCTCTTGAGTTTCCCAATCATGCGCCGCAGTGCCCATGCTTCTTGATAGCATTGGTCTGAAGTCCGGGAGAGCTTGGCCAATTGAAAAAACTCAGCCACGGCATGGATGAGCTTCTCAATGGCTGGGAGTTGAAGGTCGTGGTGACTCATGATCTTCGCCAATGGCATCAACACTGCCTCATTTATCTTGAGGTTCTCAATGGTGGGTTCAACATACTTTGAAACAGCTTCCCTCTTCTCAAAGTCGTAGGAAAGGCAAAGGTTTTTCTCATCTCGGATGCGCTCTCGGATTGCTGGATGGTTGTCCCATTCAACAGGGACATTCTCAAGCCCATAGTCCCCCACCACACTTCTAGGGGAACCTTTTGGAGAGCTGCCTTCGCTAGCAGCACCATCCTGCGATCTCAAAGCCGGAGACCGCACTTGCACACACATGGCCATGGCCTTGGTTTTGGCCATGCCTAGCAAACCCTGATTTCACCTCTGAGCAATCCCCTGTCTGCGGAGGACCGGCTGCACGAATGAGAGTTGCTGAGGTGCAAGCTTGCATTGACAAAGCTGGCCGTCAACATATAACAAGACAAAGAATGCAAAAAAATCTGGTAACAAAATCAAGCAAATCTATTTGGTTCTATAGCTCAATCTAACAGATCCCATTGAGATCTCATGCGATGCAGGATGAACCACATTTGTTCACAGTACCCATTAGCAATGGCAATCGCATCATGCACAAGCAGGCCAGGGGCACGAGTTTGCGGCCGTAGCACTGGAACCCGTGACATCATGCGACATCCGCTACGGCACTGGTGATTTGTCAATCAGACATATACGGTATATAAACAAAGTGGACCTCTGTATATAGTTGGATCACTATATCACTAATGGCTGCCTATGTTGGGCCCATAGACCATTTGGCATCCTGGAATTCAAGAAGTACCCATGCATGGAAAGGACCTGTCAGGGTGGATGTTTGTTGCTTCGACCCACCTTTAGGATATCGACGGAAACCGCAGTCCATCTTCAACATCACTTTGAATGCCCAATTGACTTGAATGTTGAAGCGAGTGTCGCGGTCCATGTTCATTGGCCACGCACGCAAATGCGTGCCGGCTCAGCTATACCCCAACTGAGCCTTCGCGTGAAAACAAAGGGAGACGACAGGCGCCCCTGGTAGTGCCAGGAATCGCTTCCAGGCGTGTGGGGTGGTGGTTGGTGGTATAGGGGAAACTGCCTACATCCTTAATTTGATATGACATACCTTTAGCAAGTGTCATTGGAGCCCTTGATGGCCCTTGTTTCTTTCTTATGTGAGGGGTCAAAGGCCAAGATGTTTATAACCCTGTGATGCAATCATATATTTGGATTCAAACCCTTGCGCCAACCCACTATTGGCAACAACTGGAGCGTATATAAGATCTTTATCCTAAAGATGCCCAAGTTGCCTTATCATATATGGTTTCTTGGTTTATACTGCATTGCAGCCTCCAAGCAAGGTCTAAATCAACCATTACGGGAAATCACGTCCCGGACAACAATTCCTGTCCAGGTCTTTAAAAGACATCTTTTTACATTATGGACAGGAAAAGGTATACTAGCGGTGCTCCAGGTACAGGGTAGTCCAGCCAGGACATCCAGGTCTGGATGCTCCTGTTCTGTTTCATCTTCCCTAACTCTTTAGGTTTGATATCAATTGTCAGCCCGAGTTCACTGTGTTGTTTATTATTTCTTTGGAACACGGGCTCTTGGAACACCGGCTGCTTAACGCACCGGATGCTGCGGACGTCCGGACCCTTTGAGAAGCCGGGTTCCCGGCCGGGTGTGGTCCAAACTTCGTTAAAGTTTGGTATTTTAAGTACAGTTGTGACTCTATGGAAGCCGACAGGGGCTTGGACTTGTGGAGTCCAAAAGGAAACCATGTTTAATCATACAATACAAGAGTCCTTTTCCAGATGTGCTGAAAAGAGATGGTGGTGACTGTGAAAAGAAAATAAAAGAAACACAACACTCTTAAGAAAAGAAAACAAATCCTGCAAGCTGCTTTCGTCACAAGTCATTGTGTAATTTATATGATTGCGTTTCTTTGATCTGACTGAACTTTTGCCAGAAAGGCCAAACACCCCCAAACACGGTAAAGCCACCACATCCGAATCCTTAAGCCTTTTTTCTAGGCCTTCGGGCGGCGTGCGAAATATCCCTGCAAGTCAGTGAAACCGGGTTCACAGCTGAAAGAGAAACATCAACTGCAGGCAACTGCAGGCAGCTCATTCTCAGTTCAGTTCGACTCCAGTTCATTTCATCTGCCCCAAGCTGGAAGGAAGGTACATGGCTTGCAGTCCATGCCTTCCATCCAAACGCAGGGAGAAGCCTGGAGAAGCCTGCTGCAGTGCCTGGGAACCCGAGCCTCCAATCGTGACCGGCTACCATGGAAGACCGGTCTCAATCCAATCACTGACACAGCATCCACCATCCAGCAGGTGATCCTTGGACCTTCACAGGTGGTTTCAGGGCAGGAAAACCAGGACACACCTGTTCTTCAGGTGCAGGTATAGTAACTAGTAGATCTAGTAGGGAATGTTTAGTCAGTTTTCGCGCCCCCCCCCCCACAAATCTGTTCATCTCCCTGGTAGCGACCTGCCAGGATGGGTGGACCAACGCCGGGAAAAAGCCCCGCAGGTCTCCGGGTGCCACCGCAGTACTTCCCCTCTGGGCCCAGCAGCTCGCCATTGGCCACAAAGTGGTAGACGGCCAAGGCTGCACTGGAGAAGAGCCTGGCACAGAAGCAGCGAAGCGAGTGACGGACTGCGAAGTCGGAACATGTTTTCCCAAATGTGTTAGTCCCCTTGTAAAACGACCTAGTCAAAACAACTCCTCTAAAAACAACTCCTGTAAAACGACCTAGTCAAGGACCCGGAGTTGTTTTGATTCCCCTGATGTTCCTTGGTTTTGAGTCCTTCGCTTGTTCATGGTTGTGAAGTCTAAGTCTGATGACTGTTAAACTCAGCTCGACACGAACGCTGGGTGTACACATGTCTCCCGGCGCACGAAAGGGGCAAATGGCAGCCATGAAGATATACTCAAAAACAGGACAGTTGGGCGACCGCTGTCCTTGTGATGTTGCGGAAGGAGATCGGGCAGCGTCGGAGCGTCCCGTGCGGCATCGTTCGATCAAGCATGCCAGTTCTCTCCCGTAAGCCCACATGACCTGCGACGCGGAACGAGCCAAATGCAGGCTCAGCACCAAGGACCTGTTTCCCCAAAGAGGCCAGAGGATGTGTGTCAAAAGTCAAGAGGTGAAGTGTCAGATCGTGTATGTATAATGTATTGACATGCATATAGAAATAGTTGTCCGCTCGCTCTCTGTCTCTCTTGCTCTCTATCTCGATCTCTATCTATTTATCTATCTCTGTCTCTCTCCATGCTTCTTTTTGAATCTCAAGCGCATCTGGCCACTGCACTCACCACGATGTGGAACATGTCCCGCACTGGAAAAGGACGCTTTCCAAGCAGTTTGGTCCCACATCTTTTATGGGAGAAGATCTATCAAATGCATACAAAGACCCACAATGTGCAGAAAGAGTCCCTGGCAGCCAGAAAATTCCATTCGTCACCCTTCCATTGGGTCTTCCACCCCTTGGTGTTGCGAGGCGAAAGAACGGGGATTCTGCCAGCCGGGCACTGGTGGTGAAGGCTCGCGTGAAGGAGCCGGAGCGGCTTGCGGGCCCCGAACGTTGTATGCTCATCACGGCAGCCTTCACTGTCAACGTTGACGCCGCGGGACCCCCGGCGCTGATCTACCAGATCCACGGGTCGTGTGCAGGCGGTCAACATTTCCGCCACTCCAGCATTGGTTGCAGAAACCCATTGGTCTGTCAGCCAGTTCTTCCAGATTGGAGTGGTTCTTTGATCGATCCAATGAGTCGTTTACTATGTGGAACTCTAGTAAAATCTGGAATTCCTGGAGTGTCCCAATGTCATGTCTGGGGTATATCCCATTCCCTGTAACAATGGATGATGACGGTTAGGGTGCAGGCTTTTCTAAAAAAGCGTCAGAATTGTACCGACCGTTCACCAACTGTATCATAGGCAATGAGACACCCCCAAGCAACTTCTTCCAGCCAACCGCCTTGTTGGGCGGTGAGTGCTTCGCGATCAGCTGCATCGTCTGGGCGGCCCACATCGTCACAGCCAGCCTTGCGAGGTCAAAGGCGGTCGGCTCTCGCCAGGGCGATACAGCGGGGATCCTTCCAAGAAAGGTTATTATGTGACCTGAATTTCAGAACCCTACTCACCTAGGGTAGCCAACTGGGCTGGTCTATAGGTATAGGCTTCTTCAACGCTGTGTTGGTTCTTGTTGGGTCTACCAGTCCCTACCGCTGCAGCGGCACCTCGGGACTGGATGGCATTGGTTTCGGGTGCCGATGTCGTAACAAATGCCAACGGCGACGGTACCGGAAGCCAATGGTCTTCCGACGACAGGTTCTGAAGACCAAACAGCCGAAGAAAGACCCGCCCCTTTGCGACTGCAACGGTTCGCGTCCTCTTGCTCCGTTCGTAGCAAGGCCAGGAGCCCCTAGTAGCGTCCGAGCGCTCCGTTCGTAGCGATGCCAGGAGCCCCGGAACGTAGCTTCTTGCTCTTAAGGGGGGTCTTCCACTTCGATGTGATGTGTTCGTCCGAGTAGAAGGGTTGATTTCTCTGAGATGTTGAGCTCGGAAATGCTGAAGGATGTGCTGTATTTGGGGGCCCATCCTGTCATCCTGTCAGGTTGCTTGAACAGTCCCTCGAAGGGGGAGAGCCAAAAGGATGATTTTGCAAGAAGATACCCCCGACTCTGTCCAGCTGCCTGGGAAATCTAGGCTGGGTAGTCTTCCATCTCCATTCCGAAGCTCTGAGATTGAATAGAGCTGGTCAGTATACTTGGTTCATCCACACGTAGCCTGTAAATACACAACTGGGACAAAGGTTGTTCTCTCGAAGGTTCCAAATTGACCACCCTTTCCCCATAGAATCCTGCTGTCGATGCTTGTGGTACTTCACACGGTCGAATTTCCTCCCTCCAAAGCGGTCAAAGGGTGATCATTGACCGTCCCACACTGGCCACGCGATAGACTGGACTTCTTTTCTTTCGACCGCGGCTGATCTACATACAGCAGATGGTTTTTGAGACCTGGCAAGAAGGAAACGTAAGAAAACAACAATCTATATTATATATATATATATTCCTCCTGAAGTACTCTTCGGTTCTGAGGTGTTGTGTTCTGACCCACAACAGCTTGTCACCAAGTCAAGGTGTAAACAAGGGGTCGAGTGGACGACATTCAAACATGAAACAGGGCCAGGACTCTGTGAGCTCAACCTGTATTGTCCAACCCAAACAATCACTACTAAAAACATCTAAAACCTCCTTCAACTGGCTTGAAAGCTGCCTGTCCATTCATGGCTGACCGTGTTTGTGAGAATCCAACTGGGCTCAGCCGGGCTTTGCGATCTGATCGGTGGATGCAGCGGTTGGGTCTAGAAAAGTCCGGTGAAACGCTGTTTTACTTCCCTATGATCAAGCCTTGTGCTATCCCCCCGGACCAGAACACTAATGGAACAAGGGCTGGTGATTCACATCCCAACCCAAAATGTCAGCATCTCAATGTCAACTCTTTTGATTTTTTCCAATATTTGTCATTTGCATTGGTCCCGTTTAGGTCCAAAGAAGGCTTCGGCGGAAGGCTTCAGCTCTTTCCTGCGCTCGCAGCTCCGTCCTTGAGGCGCTCTTTGGGGACGACTGAGATGTTATGAAGACCTCAGGGAGTGGCCCACGGCGAGTCCCTCAATTGAAAATACCTCTCCAGGCTGCTTGCTTCTCCCGCTCCACGCTGTATAAGCCGAGCCTTAAGCCTCCAGAGGTGTGGGGCCCTGTTGGGAGGCAAACGCTTACACCCGAGAAAGTTGACATGGAAACTGAACATGGACCAGACTGGAAGACGACTTTCTTCTACAAACCGGTTTTCAGGTTCCATGTTAATCTTCCAGAGTGTAACAGAAGCAGCTCCTATAGTATTGTGACATATAAGGTGTGTCTGATGAAGCCCTGGAGGGGCGTCGCCACACCTAAACTCGAAGACCAGGCCCAAGCGGCCGAACACCCAGCAACAAATGGTACATTGGCACACCAAACCTTTACAGTGGATTGAGAGGACCAATGGCACAATCACCAAGTTATATAGGTGGTTTATGGATCCCCATCTGTCTAAGACATCTTGGGGGGTTGTGCCATCTACTCTGAAACCTCTGAGTATCGAAGGTCATCTGCCTGTTGTATCCTTTTGTGCCATCCTTTCCTTTCGGGTCTTCCACGTCCCTCCGTGTCTATGATGAATGAAGCCCTGAGGGGGGAACCTTCTCATCGCCCTGTTTCTCAAAGAATGGAATGAACCCTTCTTGGACAAGCACAGTGGGGGCGCCTCAGAAAAGGAAATTGGGATCAAACTCACAAGCGTGCTACTTACTAAAAGTTTGCACCTATGATGCCCAAATACTGAAGGAGTTCTTATTCAAGAACTATCGGCTAAAGAGATTTGACTCCTATCTGACTTCTTGTTTCGATGTGATATGCTTTTTGGAGGGTCAGGATGCCCAGTGTATCCATGCACATGTGGTCCACTCATGCCTGATGACATCTCACTCAGGGTGGCTCCAGACCACTAATCACTTCAACAACATCTCCCAGTCCATAAAAATGTTCACATCACTACGGCTGCAAGGCATTGCGTACCATCCAAATCCACACGTCAATGGACAAGTGCTAAGAATTTTCAGGCTTATTAAAACGAGGATTGAACATAGATTTCATGACTAACACACCAGGACTATCCAATGGGTGTCCTGGCTGGACTAGGGACTACCCTAATTACACTGCTTAGGGATCTCCATTGGACAGCCTTCGGATGGTCCAGGTAGTATACTCTCCCTGGAACCAACATGGAAGTGTAAAACCATCTGTTTGGTATTCGGAAAATGGTCTTCCCTTGGGACTATGGTCCACTTCCGCTTCCAGGGAGTGTATGCTATCGCTTCGTGCGTTCGAGCTCATCCAGCAGCTACAGTGCTCCGTTTCGACTGACTCACCGACTCGTTTCATCCCCTGCGAACTCGGACCGACGGACGGAGCTTCCGAGAAGCATCCGGACGAAGCGAGAAAACCGGTGAAAGAAAGGCGAAACGGCGAAAAAGTATGGCCCTATGGTTAAAGACCACTTGACCAGCTGCTCTCACTTCGACAAATGGCCGGCGCCTCACGGTCGATTGGCCTCGATTGGTTCTATTTACCCTAAGAATCTGGGCTCCTTCACCAACAAATAGGGTTTGGTTCGGCCCCGGACCCCTGCTATTGAGGGTCCGACCCCTGCCATGGACAGCCCAAGGATTCTTAGGGTCAAAAACAAGATGGAACCCACAGTCCAACCCCCACACCCCGACGATCAACGAGAACCCTTCGCGTGGCTGCGCATTCCAAAAAGAATAACTGTTTGCGGGAACCTAAAGGTCCAAAGAAAAAAGGTCGTAACAACTCCCGATGTGCACAGGTCCCCCGGACGGACCGCAAGAGGAGCTCGGTCCGAAGCCTGCGCGCGTCTTGCCGTGGCGGTGCGAATGGGCCCCAGGCTGAGTCGGACCTGTCGCGGAGGCCCCGAGGAATCACGAAGAGTCGCTAGGCATCGGCGTGTTCAGCTAACCTAGGCAAGGCGTGTTCAGCCTGGAGTCAGAGCCTGTTTTGTCACGAGGAGTCGCTGGAGCTCTGGAGCTGAGTTAGCTTGTGAAAGAACATGAGGTTGTTGTGGATGATGATCGATGAGGATGGATGAGGATCGAGGGCGATGATCATGATGATGATGATGATGATGATGATGATGATGATGATGATGATGATGA